TCAGGATGCCTGCTGGTCTGCCAGGCCTTTTTCCTGCCCCTTCTCCTGGATGTGCCTGCATTTTGGATATCCCAAAGCTAGACACTTGGTGGCTTGAATTCTCATTCCCAGTTGAAGGCATTTGCTGGATCCATGTGGTCACCATCCGACATGGAACTCCTACAGATGGTTGCCATAGTTTTAAGGACCAGCTATATAATTTATGGGGTCCCTTGTTCAAAGATTGTTAAGAATTTCAAGATAGCCTCAGCAGGTTCTTCTGACTCGGAGTCCTGTGTGGCTACACAGGCTGCATATCCATGGAATGGGTCCCAGTTGGCTCAAGGGCAGAGGCCAAGTCCACTATCAGGGCCCAGAAGGTCACAAGATGTGAAGTCTACTCAAGAGACCATCCAGGTGGGCCTGGGTGGCTCAGTGGGTTAAAGCTTCTGCCTTCGGCTCAGGTCATGATCTCAGGGTCCTGAGATTGAGCCCCGCATCAGGCTCTCCATTCAGTAGGGAGCCTGCCCCACCCCCAGCCTGCCTCTCTGCCTACTTGTAATCTCTGTCAAATAAATAAATAAAATCTTTAAAAAAAAGAGAGAGAGAGAGACCACCCAGATACCTTTCTATGGCAGCCCCTTCCCCTTGTCCACTACTTTCCATACGATCTCACAGACGGGGTGCAGCATGGCAAGGAAGTGGGGAACAAATATAACTGTGGGTAAAACAGGGCCAGATCAGGACAGGAGAAACTGTCTTTGTAGAGCCTAATAGATCGTTCCAGGATAATGCCAAAATTCTCCAAATAACTTAACACAGACAGCTGGGAAATAGCTTAATGAGAGAGTCCCCAGGCATGATCATGAATATTGGTTGGGGCCAGAGTCTGTCACAATTGCTGTTTCTGGCTGTCTTTCTCTGTAATCAAAGTTCTGAACTGCCTCACCTTCCATGTGCCCTCACTTGGGCCCCTCACAAAGCACAAGCGAGGAGCCCACTAAGTGAGCCCACGAAAGGCGGCCAGCCAGAATCCCAGGGATTCACACGAACCCCTACCCTGCACTTTGGGCAACGCAGATCTGCAGAATCACTTCCAAGCCAAACACCACATTTATTCAGCATCCTGTTTAGTTTATCAAAAGGGCTGCATGTGATTGAGACTTTCTCAAAGGAATAGAGCGCCCCCTGCTGGGTAAATGGCATCGCCGTTAAGCTGTCCGTTACCAATGCACCAAAATCTGAAAATACACCTTTAGTGAATTAACATCGTATAAGACCCAGAATCAACAGTATGACTCATAGTGATAAAGTTGTCAGTTATAGGAATTATATATGGATTTGGTGATAAGTTGATTTTTTACATGTTTCATGACTCCTGAGTTCCTAACAATATTTTTTAGATCTTTATCTCAATTATGGAAACAAGGAAAACATTTTGAAGTACTCAATGTTCCAGTAGGATTTCCCACTCTTCAGAGAAGAGTGGTCACAGAAGATCTCACAGGGGAGGAGGCTGCATGGTCCAAGGAGAGGACATGGGTTTGGAGATCAGCCAGACTAGGTGGCTAGAGTGGTTTCAGCTTGGAACAAATTGTCCGATTTTGAGTTACCATCTTGTGATCACGAGGACAATAATATCCACCTTCAAAAGTGTATGTGAGGGCTAGAGATACTGTGCCTGAAGCACTCAGAAGTGCTCAGTTAACTGTGGGTGTCATTGTTACTGTTACTCTATTATTATGAAGTGGGTCTAATTGGGCTTCAAGGGATCTGCCGCTTCCAGACACAGAGCCTACCTTCCCAGGGGGCAGGGGCTCCATCTGGCTCAGAGAATTTGCCCCTGGGTCACAAGGGCAGTACTCACAATGGGCACTCCACTTTCTTTTGAACCCCACAACCACACTTTGGGCGCTGGCTTTGTGATATACACCTCTCACTGGGCCCATCTGGACAATTCTCCTTGTAAGAGATCCCTCCAGTCCCTCTAATTCCACATCTGTCTTGTCAGCTCAAGCCACCTTCATCTCTCTCTTGAGCCAGTGCAAAAGCTCTTCTGTCATTCCATCTCTGCTCTTAGCTGCTCAAACTCAGAGTAACTTCTGTTTGATAAAATGAGATCCAGTTGGGGCCACTCCCCTAGCTCCCCCAGCTTACCTGCCTGCCTTGCTTGTAATGCCAGTCTCACCCCTGGGCTTTATGCAATTTGCTCTCCCTGCCATCAATCCTCAGCCCCCAGATTCCTCCCCTGGCTACTCCTTCCCATCCTCCAGGTTTTGGCTCAGACACTCAAGGTGGGTACGAGAAATAGCACACTTTCTTATTTTCTTCAAAGCAAATTGAAATTTTTTGGCCTCATTCTGCTGTGCTGCAGCAGAAATTAAATCTGTGGTGGCCACTAGGAGGTTTCTTCCTTTTAGGGTCTCACAGTTGTTTGGGATGTTCATGAGTGACCTCAAAAGTGGGCGAGGACTTCTATTCTTCAGCTCATCTGGGTCACGGCTGCTATCCTCAAGGCCAATTCTGAGGGGCTCCGGAAGGAGGGGGCTCCAATGCTTGGGAGTCCTTGCCTACGCTGGAAAACACCCCCAAAACACGAGCCTCTGAAGCTCATCTCACTGGGTACCACCAGCAACTGGGGCACAGCTTTCCACTAATTTGAAGCTCCTCTCTCCTTTCCTCCCCTGCTTCCCATGCAAGGGTTAGGGTTGTTTTTTAATTCATCTGTTCCCTATTGGGAACAAGAAGCTCAAAGGACCTAACCACTTACTTGGAGGAGGAAAAATTTCATAAACAAAATTACTATTTGAAGTTACGTGCTAGAAGTCTTGTTATAACATCTCACCATGATCATCCAGTCTAAGTCAGGTCTCCCAGACCCACTCTCTATACCCTGTGGTATAGGGCCGCACTGCTCGGGCCCAGTCTGGTCTGTCCATACACCCATCCTCTGACTACTGGCTCTGTGTTGGCTACCAAGAGTATGGTCACACTGTCCTCCAGGTAGCCTTGAACCCCGGCAATGCCTGCGGTATTTCTTCCCAGGGGACAGCGGGAGGGGAAGAACCAACGACTGGGCATTGCACACTGGATACAAAGGTCTAGCCACTTGCCTCCAGCTGGGGAAATGTGGTGACCTCACATTCCTAGCACCCATGGAACCTGGCTCTTGACTTCAGCTTGGTGCTCTTTGTTCAGCCTCCTCCTCTGCTCTAGCCTGTTTCCCTCACAGGCTCTTCCTGAGAGCGCAACCTCAATAAATCCCTTACACACGAGACTCTGCCTCAGGCTTTGCTTTCAGGTACCCAACCTAAGTGACAGCCTATTATTTCCCTTCCCCACACATGTCACAATTTAAAATCATAGATGTGAAGAACTATTGGCTTGATGTTTGTTTCCCCCACTAAACAAAGGCAGATGTACTTCTGTTCACTGCTATACTCCCAGCACCAGGGGAGATGGCTTTTACGAAAGGCAATGCATTGAACTGGACACTGCACGAACACAGCCTCTCAAACCTCGCTCTGCAGACTTCCCTCTTGGGTGCTGTGCGACATTTGCTTGAAAAGCCGCCTAGCATCTCTTGGGGCCATCATCCTCAAGCCAGTCCTAGATTCCCAAGCTGCAATGGACAGTGTGGCCCAGGTTTGGTCACCTCATTCCTGACACAGTGAGCTGTGGTTTGGGCACCACATCACAGGTCAAACTTGGCGTGGGGGAACTGTTCTTTGATGAGGGTGTAAGCCAAGCAGATACATCAACAGTTCTCTATCTTTACAGGCATCATACTGTGATTCAGTGAAAATCAAGACAGCTTTCACATTTTACTGGTCTACCTATATCCCTGGGAAAGGCTGGATTCATATGAACATGCCCTAGATTCCTTGATGTCAGCGTCTTAGCTGTTACATACAAGACTAGTTATAGTAAAACCCTTATTTAATTAGAATGTGTAGGAACCATGGCATTCTAGGTACTTTCAGTTTTTGAAAAACTGTTTTCTCTTAATATACATTTTTCCTGAACATTAGACCCCTCTTTTCTACTGGGTTGTCTGTCTTTTGTTATTGAGGGACTGGTGACTTGGGGTCTTTATTCTGAGATGACTGACTTGTAGCCAAGACATGATGCACAGGGAGATCAGCCTGCACGTGTCTGGATTACAGGAGTTGCTACAACCCCATTTCCGATCGAAAACCTAACATCAGCCCATTTGTGATATACTTCTTCCTAAAAGCTAGGTAAACAAAAAGACCCCTAAAAAAGAAGAGGGGTGCCTGGGTTCAGTCAGTTGGGCGTTTGCCTTTGACTCCTGTCATGATGCCAGGGTCCTGGGATGGAGCCCTGTGTTAGACTTCCTGCTCAGCAGGGAGCTCACTTCTCCCTCTTCCTCTGCCCAACCCCCTTCATGTGCACATGCTCTCTCAAATAAAATCCTAAAAAACAAAACAAAACAAAATGCAGAAGAGACACTTCAGCGATTCAGTCTTTCTAGTTTTTGAATGAGGGATACAGAAATATAAGTCAGGGCCTCTTCCCACAGTTCACAACCTAGGTAAGAAAACGTTGAGATGCCACTTAACAGAGGCAAATGATTCCAGGAGATAAATGTCCATGTTTTCAAAATAGGAGTTTTTTTTTTTTTTAAGATTTATTTTTGAGAGAGAGCGGGAGAGAGAGTGAGTGGGGGGAAGGGCAGAGGGCAAGAGAAATCTCAAGCAGGTTCCCTGCTGAGCATGGAGCCTGACCTGGGGCTCCATCCCAGGACCCTGAGATCATAACCTGAGCTGAAATCAAGAGTCAGATGCTGAACCGACTGAGCCACCCAGGTGCCCCTCAAAATACAAGTTCTTATATAAATGTATAACTGAACATGGGCTTCATGGTGTTTCCGTTGTATCTGAAAGGGCTGTGAAAACACAAAATCTTGTTACTGAATAAAACTAGTGGTCCAGATAGCTAAAGGTCCTTTCCAATGGCACCTAATTAACTTGTACAGAGCAGAAGTACCTGTCAGATAACCTTTAATCTATGAATTTATCCAAATTTTGAAAATGCCACAGGGGATCTGAGGAATCCCAACAATCCCAGATATCCATCCTACAGTGAGGGGCTCTACACTGCTGTTCAGAGGGAGGCATGTGAGAAGTTAACAGTCCCCTCACACCTGGCTCCTCTGTCTTTGCCCGGCCCTCTCATCTCTTCAGTCACCTATGTCACGGGACACAACTCTGACAGTAAAGCAAAATCAGAGTGAAAGGCAAATGTTGAACCAGTCATGTTCAAACACAAGCTAGTGAATGAAGAACTTTTGGTTCAAAGGGCCAAATATTCTGCATTCCTGAGAAATCTCAACCGGTTTCTCATTCTGGTGTTTTCACACTGCATTTTGTTGTCACAAAAACTAGTTGGGTGTATATTTTTTAGTGTAGATTTATCATGTTAAGATCTGAATGAGGAGACAGAAAGAAAACATTTTGTATCTATGTATTTTTCAAAAATCTGTCCATGAGAAAGGAGCCAGGTGTTAGTTTCCTACAGGGGGAACATTCTCATGGAGATACTGTAAGGCCAAGTCGGTCCACTTCATTTCTTGTTCTTTAACAGATTCTGTGGTGCCACCATTGTCCTGTTCAGGTTCAGGAAGCTCATTCTGCAAAGGTACAATAGACATTCAGAATGCTGGTACACTCTGCATTAAGAAACCCCTTAAAACTCAAGAGCACTTAGAAATCAAACCTCTGAGTTCTTAGAAACAGGCAGTATAACTGACAGAAATCTATCCTAAAGAAAGAACTAGGATGAACGGACCTTTTATCTCCTCTTGGGCAATCAGAGGAAAGAGTAGCCATCACCTCAGAGGACAGCTGTGAAACTAAATGGGGTAACTGAGATGGAGTGCTCACCCCTGCAGGCAGCCATCTGATGCTCAAGGAACGGCTGCTCTTATTACTAGAGGCTGGGCTCACCGACAAGACCCAATACTAAGTCCTTTTTTGGGAGGCTGCTTTCATTGAATACCACATTTGCTGGAATATTCCTTAAGTATAAGAAATGTATTTTAACAAACTATCCCGTGCCCATCATGCCTATGTTCTTACGGAGGTGGGTGGTGAGGGCTGAAAATGTTAACATACTAGGTGAGGTGTCGCCCTAGTGCTGGAGCACAGCAACACAAATCCTGGCAAATGACCGGTTCCTCCCCTGCTAGCATCTGTCTTAGAATGGTAAGCCATGGACCACACTTACTAGGGAATGTGACATATAGTGTTTTTTTCAGCTTGAGCTTTAATTTACATAGAACACTGTGTGAGTTTAAGGTGTACCACACGATGATTTGACACATACATACTATGAAGTGATTATCACGATAGGGCTAGTTAACACACCTGTCACCTCATATAGTTAACTATGTTTTTAATGTGTGTGGTAAGAACTTTTGGTAGTTTCCGTATATTTTAAATTTAAATTTCTTATTACCAGGAGTCTGCTTTATACTGGAGTTTACTGACACCAATATATCTCTTTTCAATTATTTCAATTTATACTTTTTTGGGGGGCAACAAACTGTTATTCAATATTGAGACTTTCAATTTCCCACTGATTCCAATTTGCAGCACATGAATGTTTTTCTCTTTCAAAAATATGCTCAATATATATAAAGTGACTTACAATATGTACAAATGTATCTGAACACATGTTGTTCTGAGCACATATGTTGTTTTATAAACATAATATTGAGACTCAAACATATTTGTATGAATTACAAAGAACTATCATTTACTGTAGAGCAATCATACATTCAAACCTAAAGAGTAAGTTTGGTTCCAATAATTATTTATAGCTCACAAAGCACAAACAAGTCCTTGGTTTGTGAATTATTTAACTGACAGACGAGTAACTTAATTTCATCTCATCTGTGGTATGTGTTCTTTTTTTTTTTTTTTTTTTTAAGATTTTATTTATTTTGAGAGAGAGTTAAGGCTAGGGTTAAGGTTAGAGAGAGAGAGAGAGAGAGAGAGAGCATGTGTGTGTGTGTGCGCCCAAGCAGACTCTGAGTGCACTAAGCCCAGAGCCCAATGCTGGACTCGATCCCAGGACCAAAAGATAACGACCTAAGCTAAAACCAAGGGTTAGATACTCAACCAACTGAGCCACCCAGGCGCCCCTCTGTGGTATAACTTCTAAAACAGTATCTTTCATTTGGTCACTACTGTCTCTTACACTGAATGCCAAGATGAAAAAATGCGTACGTGCTTTGAAACCAACACAAAGTATAATAAACTATCATAAACACAACTATCAATTATGGCTTATTGCAAATTGGCCTCAATTCTTGGCAGCTACTCCCATGAAAAGGCAGAGTCTTATTTCCCCAATTTCAGATTGGGACTGACTGAGTGACTTGCCTTGGCTAGCAGAGAGCAGCCACAGTGTCCTTGGGCCCATTCTTGGATAAGCTCCATGAAGCCTCACAGTCCTTCTCTTGCTGTTCTTGGAACCCTGAGATGGCCAGGTGCAGTCTAGGCTAGTCTGCTGGATAATGAGGCTTTGACCTCATCATCCCAGCTGACCTGCTACCTACCAGATGTGTGAAAAGTCTCCTCATCCCCCAGCCTCCAGCTGGCCTGCCGACTGACTGCAGAACACCAGCAAGTCCAGCAGGGATCAGCCGAGCTGGAAAGACTGGAAGACCCTCTCAGCTGAGTCACAAAATCATGAGATAAACAGCTATTGTTTGAAGTCACTCTGTTTGGGGGAGATCTGTTAGGCAGCAACAAAAGCTAACCAGTGCACATTCCCCGAGAGTCATGAAACAGGAAAAGACACAGAATAACAAGAAGGCCAGGCTACACCCTGGAAACTTCCTTCTCCCTCAACCCCTTCCACAGAAGTGGTCCCCAAATCCTGCCATATGCCTGCAAAATTCAGCAGTTCCCCTCCACCTACCTGCCTTTGTTCAGGTTCTCCTCCCCATACTACTGCGATCACTTCCTCACTGGTCCCTCTGCCCTATCACTCGCCCCTTTCTCCATGGCACACATTCCCTAACAATTCCCTTCTGAACTAACATTCTAAAACTCAAATTTGAGTGTGGCAGATTTCTAATTTGAAAACCACTCATTCCTGGTTATCCTCAGAATGAAGTCTAAGCATGGCGTCATATACTTGTCTCAAAATCTGGTCCAAGCCCATCTTTTCTGCCTACCTTAGATGACAAATATAGTCTCTGTCCACAATGAATGTCTCACCATCCCCCAAAGCCTTTCAAAACTCTGAGCCTCTGCATATCTGTCCCCTCTGTTGAGAGTGCCCTTGTCTACCCCCACTACATTTCTGGCCCTCCCTTATGGCCAGCTTAAATATTACATCTCTCTGAAGTCTTTCCTGATGCTCAACAGGCATCAGCCACTTCCTATCCTATGTCATTATTCACAACCTGGCTTATAACATTTATTACTGTAATTACTTATTTCTATGTGTTGTCTCTCTAGATCCCCAAGGGCAGGAATTGTGCCTGCCAAGTGAAAAAACAAAAGTTTGCAAGACAGGATCTAGAGGCTTCACACAGACCTAAGTGTGAAGTCTAACTTATCGGCTACCCAGCTTTGCACAAGTTCCTCTCTGATTCTATTCCCTTGCTGTAAAATAGAGATAACACCACTACCTTTGTAAGAGTATTTGTTTATTTATTTTTATTTTTATTTTAAATTTTAAGATTTTATTTATTTATTTGACAGATAGAGATCACAAGTAGGCAGAGAGGCAGGCAGAGAGAGAGAGAAAGGAGGAAGCAGGCTCCCTGCTGAGCAGAGAGTCCTATGTGGGGCTTGATCCCAAGACCCTGGGATCATGACCTGAGCCGAAGGCAGAGGCTTTAACCCACTGAGCCACCCAGGTGCCCCTGTAAGAGTATTTAAACAGTTAGAAATAACATATGTCAAATTTCAACCTTAGTCCATGGCATAAAACTGGTATTGAATAAGTGGCAGCTAGAATTCTCATTGTGCACTCCCTTTTCACTGTTTTTCTAAACTTGAACTAAGCTGTGACCTATTATCTGATATGTGTATTATTCACTGAGCATAGTATCATTTCTTAGTCTTAAATGAAAATGTTGGTGAGCGGAATTTTATTTCTCAGTAGTCAGCAGCAGTCTACTTGGAAGGTGCATTTTATTAATAGCTCTTCTCAGGGCACTTGGCATGATCTGAAGATAAACAATCCCTGGAGTCTGTACTCTGTGTTTTTTGTTAGGCCTCTATGACATAAATAGGATTGAAAATAAAAATTAATGAACAACTTTTAGATGATTTATTATGGGAGGGTCAAGAAACTCCCTGCAGGAGCGTTCTCTAGAGATTGGGAAAGAAGAGTGTGTCCCAAGACCCGTTTGGTCTAAATCCAAGAGAAAACCCAGCTGTCTTCCAAACATTTTCCAGGGAAACTAGGATAGTTGTGTGTTTCGAGAATGTCTCTAAAAATAGCAAATGATCAATCACAGGTAGACAAATAAGAAATATACTGTAAATGCCATTGCTTCTTGTTCCTCTCTATCTTTTGTACACTGAACTCTCATCTGGTTTACTAACTTTGGTGTGGCAGACAGAACATAGCTCAGAAGTCTTGAGTCTAGTCCTGGCATGACCCCTAACTGAGCTCCTCATATCAACTCTCTGAACTACAGTTCTCTTCAAATAAAAAGTCAAACTATTCAGTGTCTTCTAGAGTTATAGGAATCCACATCTTTGTGGATTTCTTTGCCCTACTAGTTGGTCCATTGACATCCTACTTCTAGTAGGGTTCACCAGATCATACCTTTAACCCACCATCCTTGGCACAAACTATAGCCTACCAGTGGTATTGCAACATCCTCATATGGCAGCTTGTCTTCTCGCCAAGCATCGTCAATCAAATCCAAGATCCTTCCATCTCTCTGTACCTCACTGTCCATTCTTCTGCAGCTTTGATCTTGTCAGATCTGTAAGTCAAAGAGATTATTTCTTAAGCATGAAGGCTGAGGAGGTGATGTAATCGAGCAATAGGCTTCCCCAGGCTTTTTAGCCTGCATGTATCCTTTGCTATAACACCACCCTGGGAAATGGGAAAGACTCATCTTCTCATTTGGGTCAGGTGACAATCTAGTTCTAAGATCCCAGTCTCTCCCTACTGCCCATTCCCTTCCCCCAACCCATGGGTGCTTTATAGCCCATACAGGACAGACAGCAGACATAGCCTAGTTGACAGACCAGTGTCACAGTGTGACAGAAGCCTTGTGTACAAGGCCACAGTATATCTAGAACATAGGTTTTCTCTCCTAATTTGCATATTCACCTTTCCCTGTTCAGAATGCCTTCAATGAATCCCTAATAACCAAGTCTCCTCTCTGTCCCTGTTAGCCTTTTTCTGCACTATGTTTTACAAAAAAGTCTCTACCTGCCTCAGCTTTAATATTAGCATTCCTAGGCATAGGAGCTAAATGAACGTATTGAGATAATGAACTGGGCTATGTGAAGTGACCAACTACAGAGCTGACAGAAATCCTCAGCTGAACTTTTAAAGGAAACTGTCTTTCTTAAAATAGTGCCCAATCCAAGTTCTGAAAGGAGCACCTGCAGCAGGTGAACAACAGCAGCAGGACCCCCTGCTGCTCATTTCTGCTTCCCTTTGGGGTTCTTTCCTCTTTTAATGCTGTACTCCCTTCAACGCCTGGACCAAGTGGTCAAGATGTTATTTAGCTCCTTGGCCATGACTGACTATTTTTTCTCCTAAACATCTGCAGCCTACCTCTGGATTCCGTTTCCTAGTGCGGGCTCTGCTGCTCCATCATAGGTTCACTTTACTGTGTTCCCTGTCACAAAGCAGTCATCCTGATGGCCTGGAAGCCAGTGGCACCAAAGGCACTCCCAGTCACTCCTAGTTTCTGAGGGTACAAACATTCGTAAAAGGAACAATCTTTAGGGGTAGACTCCAACTCCTTCATACAGACCTATGCTTGGCCCCAGTAGCATGACTGCATAAAAGCCCTAATGCCTGGGTAATAGTTATTACAGGTTGGGGTTGGATAAGAGTTTTTAACCCCATGGTAAAGAGTCAGGCAAAACTGAAGCAGAAGGTGCCCAGCAATTTTGGCTACCAGTGAAACAGCTGAAACCTTGATGTTTCACTCAAGAATTAATCCAGCACTACCCCATGGATAACTCAAAACAAGTATAAGGATATTGTCTTTAGAAAATGTACACACAGTTCCAGTTATATTTTTGGAATTCCTGTCCCACAAGAGCCCTTTTTCCTGCTGCCAGTCCTGTGTCCCTGCTGCTCTGTCCCCTGCAATACCCTCATTTTTCCAGTTGATCAGAACTAGCTAATTCTCCCAGTCATACACAGATTCCACCTTTCTGTCAAGTTTTTTCAAGCCTCAGTGAGCATTTGGCCCTTGAATGTCTCCTTCTTGTCTTTATGATCCACCTAACAAGTCAGGTAGTCTTTGTAACAGATTTCTCAGGTATCAGTGTCTACAATTATTATGTGTAAATATTGCAGACTCTTTCCCAAAGATGTGCTTTTGCAGCACATCTTTCCCAAATTTGGCCTCAAAATTTTCTCACCGTCCCTTTTCCAAACACCACTAACCCTGCCATACTTTCCAGCCTTTGCACTTAAAAGCCTTTTTCCTCCTCAGTAACGCTTATTTTCCTTTCAAACTCAACACTAGTGTCAGCTCATCTGGTTAACATCTCATTTCCAGAGTCAGGCCCTACGGTGCCTTCACTCTTCAGGGTCTGGCAGCGTGGAAAGCATCAAGACAGCCAATGTCCAGGACACAGCCACTGTCCAAAGCACCTGCCACACTCGACAGAATGAAACACTACCACCTTCCTGAGCAAACTTTTCTTACACATGTAACAGTTCCGATGCCTAGAACGCTCGTTACAATTCCTTTGTTTCCAGCTAAACTCCAGTCTAAAAAATTTGGCTCCCAGGTCGTCTCCTGCAGGAGGTCTGCTCCTAGACCCAGGGGGAGCACGGGACCCGTCCTTCCTGGAGTCCCTTAGCTCCCTTGGCGCAGCGAATGGTCCCAACTGGGAGCTTGTCACACTGTCCGTTACAAGGTTTTCCCAAACCCGCGGCACGTGTCACCCTACTCCTGTGCTCTGCAATTCTACAAACGCAGAATCACAGGAATTAAACGAGACGACCTTCTACCTAGCTAGAATTGACCCTCGCAGGCCACCACCATCCGTATACAAGTGTGGGCCCGCCCCCGTCCCGGCTTCCGGTTGAATCTACCAAATGTGGAAGCGGGGGAGGTCCAGAACTGCCCCACCAGTGCCCTTCCACTCTCCATGGCGTGCGGAAAGGAAAGTGATTGTGAAGATGAAGCGAGACATCGGCCTCAACTGACGAAAGGTTGGAAAGGGCGACGCTAAGGACCCCACGCATCCTCGTCCCTCCAAAACCAAGACTTGGGGCGCGGGAAAACCTTACCCGCGCGGGACCCAGCGCCGCACCCGCTTCCACACAGCCCTGCCCTCTCAGCCTCACGTGACCCGCGCGCCTTTCTCACCGATCCCCGGATGTGGGTGAGCCCATATTCTTGCACGGAGGGGAGGCCTGGGAGGACACTTCTTCAATTCAAAGTGAGGGGGCGGTGGGCGGAACGAACGTGGCGACGCCGGAGGCTGGACGTCGGGTCGGCGGTGACGCGCGTGCGCGCCCCCGGCCGGAGGTAACGGCGGGAAGTCTCGGGGGCGCGCTCGCGCGGTCCCAATAACCGCATGGGCTCCCGGTGGACTGGCGAGGGGCGGGCGTGTCCTGGTCCGGAGGCAGCTCTGGCTGCGGTGGCGCCGCGGACTGCGCGGCCGTATGGCCCGGGGCCGGCCTCCGCAGCAGCCCGCTGGCCACCAGGCCCGCCCTCGCCGGCCCGGGTCCGCTGCGGCGCTGGGCCCGTCGGCCTCCCCGCGTACGCCCTGCGGACCCGCGAAGGCGGATATGGCCTTGCCCGGCGCGCCGTCCCGGCCAGCCAGGTGGTCAGCCCCTCCCCAGAGGCGGGGCCGGCGGGAGGGCGGCGGGGGGTGCGAGCAGCTGCCGCCGAGTCCACGTCTACCGCGGCGGAGCCAGCTGCGGGCCGCTCTTCCTTTGCAGAGGAGGGACCCCCGGCACAACCCTCCCGCCTAGGCTGCCTTATCTGGTTAGCTTCCCAGCATTGTTGTGACGTAGGCCATTGACCGCACGTGATGCCGGTTCACTTAGGGGGAAATTTTAGCAAGTCTTAAAAAGTGAGTTAATGTTAGTACAAGAGGTACGGAAATGTGGCAGAAGTCTTGAAGGACTGAAGAAGTTCAGAAGGCCTGAGTTTGCGGATTGATCCATACAAATCAGGGGTGGGAGATGAATGATAGGCTGAGTGTTTAAAAGGGGACAGTTCCTTAGGGGCACTTTAATCGTGAAGATATTTGAGGACAGTAAATCTAGGCTCAGTGTTTTTCTTACATTCCTTACAACATCAGAGTAAAAATGAGTCTGCTGTCAATGACTGGTTTTCATTTACATTTAGGGTACCCTTATGTGCACGAAATAGTTTTCATTGAGCCTTACATGCAATTCCTTCAATTTCACTCCTTTAATAAAACAGTATTGTAGGATAGGTACACTGCTGTTACAGAGTTCCCCTCGTGCTTGCATTCCATTTTATAGATGTGAAGAGGAAGTCATAATAAGGATCATCAACTACATATTACTTTCAAATATTTACATATACTTAATCATAGCTGTAGCTTAATGGTATAACAAAATACATGTATTTTCTTACTTGAAATGCAGTGCCGCCTTTAGATTTGTGCAGCTTCTTGCCCTTTGGCTATGTCACTATCCATGATCAGTATAGTAAAAATGAAATTAAAATGGGTTAGATTCATAAACATTAGACATTCACACTGCCCGTAAAAATGTATGTAGATTCAGGTTTTTTAAAAACCATTTCTAATAATTGTATATGTTAGTTGTACTGTGCCATTTTCCTCCCATTAGAAGGTAGAAGACCTTTGCTTTGTCCTTCCCTTTCTCATTTATGTAGTAGTGGTAGCCCACTGGACAGCATCCGTAATCCACTCTGATATATCAGAGTTGCCTCCTTAACCTTTTCAGCCACCCAGGTGCCTCCAGAGTTACCTACTTTAAAAAAAAGTCAGCTTGATTTGAAATTCATCTGAAGCTAACATGAACAGAGGTTGCAGAGATTGAATTTATTTTTAGGTTGTTTCTTTTTTTTCCTCTGAAAGCTAAATTTGCTTTTTTGATTTTATAAAAGTGGATTAGTGTCATCACATCTATGAAAATTTGTAAGAATTCCATGTTAGTATTCAGTCTGGGTTCAGATTTCCCCATCTGTCCCTTTGAAATGACCTTTTACAGTTAGCTCCTTTAGATCAAAATCCCATAGAGGTCCACATGATGTATTTGGTTGATACATTGTTTAAATCTTTTTTAATAGGTCAGTTCCCTTGTGTCCCTTTTCCCCCTAGTATTCTAGATTTAGCTTAATGCTTCTGCATGACATCCTTTTAACAAGTACATCTTTCCCTTTAAACCAGTAGTTAGATCTAGAATTGCACTGTCCACTATGGTAACCACCAGCCAGCTCTGGCTATTTAAATTAACTAAAATGAAATAAAATTAAAAATTCAGTTTCCTAGTTTTGTTAGCCATGTTTCAAGTGCCCAATAGTCAAAGGTGCCTCGTGGCTACCCTCTAAATGGTGCAGACATAAAATATTCCAATAATTGCAGAAAGTTCTGTTGAATAGCTCTGCTCTGGAAGATCAGACTTAACCTTAAATTTATTTATTTTTTTGTGGGGGTGAAGACGATTCCTAGGTGATGCAGTAGATAATCTATTGCATTAATTATCAGAGCGGCATGAAGTGTCTGAGCTCTCTTGTGTTAAGATTGAGGAGTGTAATGCGTTCAGGTATTATTAACCCAATCCATCCATCCTGAAATTCCCCATGAGCTTTTCACTTAATGGTGAAATCTTTTTATGGATTTAGATTGCCTATATCCATTATTGCATTATGGATTGCAGAATGGTGATTTTCTAATCCTATCATTCCTTCAGTATTAGCTAAAAATCTTCTATGAAGAAGAACTCTACCCCACCAGCTATTTGACTGCCATCAGCTATATGAAATATAGCTTGTACAGGAAAGGCAAGAAGAATGCTTAATTCTTTCCCTGTTTTCAGACTACAGTAATGAGGTGGTGGCCTACCAATCTCCAAAGGCAACCATGAGGGGTTTTGCCTTTTTTTTTTTTTAGATCTTCATGGACTTGACTATATTTAAACTGTTTCAATTTGTTGCAGTCTTTTTTTTTTTTTTTAAATACTGAAATTGCTCTGCCTTTGGTCAGTGGCACCTCTTTATGTTGGCTCCTGTCCATCTTCACATGATCAGTAGTCTTTGATAATTCATTTCCCTATTTTCTGGTAAAACATGTTCTTTCATCATTTATACATTAATGGCTACCAAAAAAGCCCTGGTTCCTTTGGGTGGGAGATGGTATTTAGAGACCCTAGTCTGGGTGCTAGAGGTGCTCATGGTGCCAGGTTGGTCAATGGTTCTAGGATTTACAGTGGCCAGAGTTAGGAAATACATATATTTTTAAATATACAGAATTCACACTGATACTTATATTTTAATTTAATTTTTTATATTTGTTTTTATGTTTGGGTCTTTTTGTCTTGCTGAAAATCTTGGAACCTAATGTCGTTAATGTAATTACTTTTTTCCCCTCTCCTATATTACATATATTGATTTCAGATTATACCAATTTTATTATTAACAATATGATTCCTGAATAGTGTTTAGGATTTCTTTGCAGTTCTTTTTTATCTTTAGTTATATTCCACTTGGGATTACAAGTACCATAGAATTATTGCATTTTAAAGGTATGTGAAACATTTTTATTATATGGTTAGCTTTCCACCTTGATATCTAATTGATAGTTGATTTGTTTCATTTTGTTTCCAGTTTTTCCAAACTGCTTTTTTTCCCCCCATTTGGATTTGATTTATTATATGTAAAACATTAACATAAAACTAGTACTATAAAACACAGATATCCAGACAAGTTTAGTGTTCATTCCTCTTTTCTCTACCCTAGTTCTCTTTCTTTTTCTTTCTTCCTTTCTTCCTTCCTTCCTTTCTTTTTCTTTTTTTAAAGAAAATATTTATTTTGAGAGAGAGAGAGTGAGAAAGGACAAGCAGAGAAGCGGGGCAGAGGGTGAAGCCAACTCCCAACTGAGCAAGGAGCCCAGTGTAGGACTTGAACCCAGGACCCTGGGATCATGACCTGAGCAGAAGGCAGATGCTTAACTGACTGAGCCACTTAGGCACTCCCTAGTTCCCTTTCTTATAGGTATCATATTTAGTAGCTTGGGTTTATCCCTCCATAAAAACAAATGCATTATCTGCTTACTTTTCCCCCCTAGTAATATATGCCTTGTAGATCCTCCTAAGAAGTATGTTCTCTGTTTTTACAGCTTCATAATATTCCACTGGTAGATGAATATTCAATTAGTCCCTGTTGATAGGCATTTGTGTTGTGTGCAACTGTTGCATATAGTGCTGTACTCTGTGTCCTTGTACATATGTGATTTTGTATTTTTGCCATTGTGGCTTTGGGAAAACTTCCTAGAAGTGGCATTGTTGGATCAAAGGGTAAAGGCATATTTTTAAGGTGCTAAGTATTGCCAAAATCTCAATAGAAATTGTACCATTTTCCATTCCTGCCTACAATGTATGTGAGGGCCCTTTTTCCCATAAATATACTTTGTCATAAGAGTATATTGTCAAATTTTTGAGTTTTGGTTAATCTAAATACAGAAGAAAAGGTAACTTGGTGTATTTTAAATTTGTATTTCTCTTCTTGTGAACAAGATAGAGCATCTTTTCATGTGTTTTAGTTAATTAATTTTAAGGGTTTATTTTAATTTCCATTAATTAACATACAGTGTTTTATTAATTTCAGGTGTACAAAATAGTGATTCAACAATTCCAT